CACCTCTGCCCGGCTCAGCTCCGCATCCCCCCAGGTACTACGGCTGCGGCCTGGTGATCCCCGAGTGCCTGGCATCCTGCCGGATCCTGGACCTGGGCAGCGGCAGCGGCAGGGAGACTGCTACCTGCTGAGCCAGCTGGTTGGGGAGCAGGGCCACGTCACCGGCATAGACATGACTGAGGGCCAGGTATGGCACGGAGCCGGGGCTTCCCCTTGCGCCCCCCAGCATCCCCCCATGGTTGCTCCCTTTCTCCTCCCAGGTCGAGGTGGCAAGGAAGCACATTGCCTACCACATGGACAAGTTTGGCTACCAGAAGCCGAACGTGGAGTTCCTCCATGGCTACATGGAGAAGCTGGTTGATGCTGGGCTGGCTGATGAGAGCTACGATATTGTCATGTAGGTACTGTGCAGGGCACTGCCACCTCGTCCCTGCTGCTGCCCCAGGCCATGGGCTGGGGTCTGTGACCCGTCCCACTGGGTCTCCCGCTTCAGGAGAACATGTTAGGAAAGGGAAAAATCCCAAGGCAGAGTTTGGGCTAGAGCCTGGGAAAACACAAACTGCCCTTTTCATGGTCAAATTGGTGTCTCCAAATCCTGCGTGAGGCGGTGGGATGTGTGGTAGTCGGTGGTGCTGAGTGCGTGTGAGGGTGCGGATGAGCCCCGCTCTCCTCCTCCCCAGCTCCAACTGCGTGATCAACCTCGCCCCTGACAAGAGAGCCGTGCTGCGGGAGGCCTACCGCGTGCTGAAGGTAATGCCGGGGTCAGCGCCCACGGCGGGAGCAGAGCCGGGTTGGGGTGGCCCTGCTGTCGCGGTGCCACGGGGATGCAGCACGTGGGATCCAGCAAGGCGGGGATGTGGGGCAGGACCAGGCGAGGGCACCTCTGCACAGGGGGTGCCCAGTTCTCCCTGCCCCTTTTGTCCCATTGCTCCCTGGGGTCTCCCTTCACTCGCTGTCTTCCAGCCAGGGGGAGAGATGTACTTCAGTGATGTCTATGCCAGCCAGCGCCTAAGCAAGACCGTCCGGAATCACAGGGTGCTGTGGGGTGCGTAGGGCTCCGGGATGGGGTGGCATGGGATGTGGGGACTGGACCTCCATCACCCGTGTCCATGCTCTCGTGCCAGGGGAGTGCCTGGCGGGAGCCCTGTACTGGGGAGACCTGTACAGCATCGCCGAGGAGGTGGGGTTCAGCCCCCCGTGCCTGGTCAGTGCCAGCCCCATCACCATCGGTGACGAGGAGCTGGAGGCTGTCATCGGTGAGGGCCCGACCAGTGGCGTCAGCTCTGGGCAGCCATGGGGAGCTGTGCTGGGATCCCGGGCGCAGCTGGTTCCCAGCACAGGCGACCGGTGCCCAACCCCCCAACCTCTCTCTTGCAGGCGACTGCCGCTTTGTCTCCGCCACTTTCCGCCTGTTCAAGGTGCCGGGCAGCAGCCGGGCTGGGCCAGCCCAGGTCATCTACAACGGCGGGATCGCGGGGCACGAGCGAGAGCTGGTGTTTGACGCCAACTTCACCTTCAAGGTGCGGGGCGGCATGCTGGGGCTCCCTGGGATGCCAAGTCGTCCTGGTCCGTAGGGATGGGGTGAAGCTGATGAAGCAGTGATGCTCAGCAGTGTCCTCTGTGATTTTGGGGTTAGCTTTTGGTAGAGGGGGTTGTGAGTGGGAGCAGACGTGCTGTATGAACCAGGGGAGGTGGAAACAGGGGCAGGAGAGGGAACCAGACCCCTGCATCGCACTGGGGTGAAGGTGGGAGCAGGACGTACGTGGTGGCTTCACAGGAGGGTTTGGGGACATTTCAAGATTTTGGGCCAGGCTGTGCCCCTGCTTTCACTCCCCCCATCATCTGCCTGCGTGGTTGGGGTCCCTTGTGCCACATATCCTAGTCCCCAGCCCTGTGACTGTCCCTCTGTCCCTAGGAAGGAGAGGTGGTGGATGTGGATGCCGAGATGGCTGCCATCTTGCGGAGCTCCAGGTTTGCGGAGGCATTCTCGATCCGGGCTGGTGGGGCCGATGCTGCCGCACCGCAGGGCTGCCGTTGCAAGGGGGTGAAGGTTGGTAGTGGGCAGCTCTGCGGCTGGGTTTGGGAATGGGATCGTGGGTGTCCCGTGCCATCAGTGCTGCCCTGGGGTGTCAGAGGGGCTGTGGCATGACCCCAAGAGACCATAGTCCTTCTGGGCTGGGCAGGAGCTCCATGGGGCACCAAGGGTGGTGCCTGGGTTTGGGCAGCTGCACCCCAGCGCAGGTGGGAGCCCTCCAAAGAGGGGCTCTTCCCTAACCATCAGGTTTGAGAGCTCCAACATGCCTATGGGGGCTGCCAAGGCTGACCTGCCTGAGTTCTCCTAAGGGGAGATGTCCTTCTCCCAGGGGGATGGCAGGGAACAGCCTGATCCAGGGAAGTGATGGCCCATCCCCGCAGTTCCTTCGTGCCCATCGCTCTCCCAGCTGCTGATGCGAGCTTGGCCCTGGCTGCCAGCCCTGACCCCAGAGCACAAAGCCTCTCTATCTGTTGGAAGCCTCTCCCCTCCTCCTTGGTGGTGCCTCCAGCCTGCAGATGGGCCGGGAGAGACAAGGGAGATAACGCCCTGCAGCTGCGTGTCCCTGAAACACAGCCTTGTACTTGGGGAGGGAGAGATGTTCTTGGGTCCCTGTCCAAGCCGGAGGCATTTCTCGGATAAAAGCAGAGCCAAAGTCCCAGAGAAGCTCTTGCCTCCCTCCTCGTGGCAGGGAAAAGCAGCTGGAGCTGCCCCCGTGTTAGCTACGGAGGGTCTGCTTGGGCTGCCTGGGTGGCAAGGCATGAGTTGGGGGGAAACACCACTTTCCCGGGGTGCCCCTTGCTTCTCTCCGGCCCAATCCGGCCCCAGGTTGTTCTCTTCCCTCTAGGAGAAGATCTGCAATCCCTTCCAGCTGCTGGAGCGGCTGGCAGCCCCGGGTCCTGCCTGCCGTCCAGGTGGCACCTGTGGTCCCCCGGGATGCTGCTGAGTGATGCCCTGTGCCGGCAGATGCCAGCCGGGCAGGAGGATGCGGCTCCCTCTGGAGAGCAAATAAACGGCCCAGCTGGAAAGCTGCGTGTTCCTGTGCCTTCCTGCGGGGCTGGGGGGGCAGGTTGTGCCTGGTCGTGGTGAGGGTGGGCAGCTGTCCTGTGGGTGCCCTCGCTGTGGGGCTGGCAGTGGCCGCATGGCTTGTACACACAGGCAGGGACGGTCCTTGTGCGAGGGGTCGTGGGTCCCAGCATGTGGGACGGCAGCTCTGGGGTGGGTTTGGCAGCGGCTGCGCGCTCGTGTTGAGCCCGTGGAGTCGCGAGGAGACGTTTGCAGAAGGCAGCCTGGCAGAGCGGGGCGCGAGAGGATGCCCTGGCCACATGCAGAGCCTGCCCCCGCGGCACGCACCCCTCTGTGTGAGCCTGGCTCCCATCTGAGGCCCTGGGGAGCCCCCAGCCGAGACACAAATACTTCTGAGGAGCAGAAGGCACAGCAGTAAGCAGCCCAGTTGCTTTTTTCCCTCTTTTGATCTCCCCGCGCTAACTCTCCCCAGGCAGGGAGCTGCAAACATCTGCCAGGCAGAGTCCATGCCAGCTTCCGGCAGTGGGGCGAGCAGCTCAGTAACCTGCTGGCCAACAGGCCTCTTCCCGGGGCAGTGGGCGAGAAGGATCTGTCACCTCCTGTGGGCTCGTCTGGCCCTCTTTTTCCATGAAGAGCTCCATGTGCGCATGAGGTGCAGAGGGATGTCCTTGATATTTGCATTTGGGATGGGGGATGCCCCACGCGCAGCTCCCCACACCTTGTCTCGCTTGCAGCCTCCTGCCTGGGGAGAGTTCCAGGCAATGGGAATTTCTCTCCCTTTCCCGACTGGTGCTGCTGAGGTTTCTATCCCCTCCCCAGACTCCATCTAGCGGGAAAGCCCCGAGTCCCTGCGAGCATCACACCTCCGCAGTTCTGCAGGGATACGCAGTGATTCTGGAAAGCAGAAAGCAGGAGAGCAGCGGGCAAGGAGTGAGCGTTTCCCGGCTGCGGATCCCGCGTGCCCTGGCCTGCAGAGGCTGTTCGGGAAAGGCTGGGGGCTGCTAAGCAGCAGCCTTGCTGAGCCCTTGTGTGATCAGCTGAGCTGAGAACCGAGGGACCGTTTTCACCCCTCCTCACACATTGGTTTTCCAGGAGGGGCCAAGTTTCTCATCTCTGCCATTTGAACAGCATCTTGCTGTGGTGTGGGGGAAGATAAAAAGCAAGTAATAAAATATTTGGGTTCGAAAAGAGATGAGGGTCAGTGCTGAGGATGCTCTACAGTAGCAGTAGCGGTGGCTGAGGAGGGTCCAGGTGAGGAGGCATTTCCAGAACATGTGGAATGCAAAGCGTGAGCGGGCAGGTAACGCCTGTCACACAGTGATGGGAAATCCAGAATCAGGTGCGACAGCCCAGAATGCGTAACCTGCCCTCTGCCACCAGCAAAACAGGGGAGCGATTAATTCGCAATTTAGAGATTAAACATATAAATACTGCCCATAAATATGGTTTTCTGGAAAGTCACCTTGCCAGGCTGTCCTTCTGGCTTTGGATGAGACCACGAGTCTGACTCATTGGGTGTACAAAAACCTGTAAGTTGTTGGGTTTAGAGGAGTATCACGATTAAAAACCATAATCGTTGGTGTTCCCTGGAGTCAGCAGGGTGTGCATGAGCTGCCTTCAGGTAGGGCTCCCTGGCAGACCAGCCTCGGGGGAGGCTGTGACCCACAGGTGTGGGGAGCTCTGAAATTGCGTGGAAGGACCTCACTGTTGTGACCTTGGGAAGGACCGGCTGAAAACACAACCGAGACTCTGTTTAACACCCCCTCACCCCCCTGCACAGTCCTGCTATTGCTTGTAAAGACTTTGAGAAGGTCCCCAAACAGGTCATCCCGGGGGGTTTGCGGCAATTAGCTCCTGCTATCAAAGAGCCTTCCCAGCGTGAGCGGAAGAGCAGATGAGGTGTGGAGGGGTCCTACCTGCAAACCCTTTCATTAAAAAGGCATGAATCCCTGCCGTGGCTTTTCAGCTTGCCTGGGGAGACAGGCGCCCACAGAGAGGTCCCCTCGTTCCATGCATACCAAAAAAGGCCACAGCTAAATGCCACTGCATTTGCATCGCACTGTTTTTTCCCAAACCCTCAGCATTTTGGGTTTGGAGCAGCTGAGAGGAAATTTCCTCGCTCTTGACTTTGCTTTTGAGCATTAGAGTAAGGGTCCTCACCAGGATGGGGATGGGGGGGGTCTGGTCTGCCTGGCTTTGTTTGTGCATGCACAGCCTTGGGGTTTCCACCCCCAAGCCACATGGTCCTGCAGCCCCATCCCGTGTGAGGAACCCCAACCCAGCCTGTCCAACCCTTCTGGTCTGGGTGTTTTGGTGATTGTAGAGATCAGCCAAATCCCCTTCTCCCGGAGTGAAGCTCTGGAGGGTCAGTGTAAGCTGTGGGGTTCTGATTCACCCCGAGGTGAGAGGAAAGTGATTCCTGAGCTCCTGCTCGCTGTGGTTTGCAGGGAGTTTACTGGGTGAGCTGAGGGATGAGCTGAATGAGGCTTGGGATGGGGAAAAAATTGTACTTGTGGCCCCAAAGCACTGTGCTCTGCTCCCTCTGTATCAGGTTGCCCTGTGTAATCCTCTACTCTTCCATTTCCAAGCTGTTTTACCTCCTCCAAAAGGTCACCCTGAACCCCAAATGCCATCTTGGCCACCAC